AAAAAAAAAAAAAAAAAAACAACAGGGATTACTACTGTACATATGGAACTCATTACATTGGGGAAACCTCAAATAAGGAACGTATGCATCTAGCTAGCACATGGGTAGAATAACTCGCATTAATAGTTGTTATACCAAGGAGGTTTTTACGAGGGAAACGTTACAGCTCAATTACACTCTCTGAAAAAGATCATGGGCTGTGAAGAGCTATATGAAATACATTCTATCAGGGCGACATGAATTAATAATATAGGAAGATGATTAATACACGAGTATAACGTTTATAAGCATTTCATTTTGGAACTCACTTCTTGAGGGAGACCTACTATAGATTCATGCTAAGGAAGAGGATATCTAATAACCTTACATACCTCTAAGTCAACCTTTCCATGGAACTGGCGGAACCATAATTCTCCACAAATCATGCTACATAAGAAAAATATTACTATTAATGAAGAGAAACATAACAACTAACCGACAGACGGCAATCCGCTCTATACATGATTCTACGACATATATCTTCACCTAACTCCCGTATAATCCTCATAAAACCATCAGTAGCACATAAGTACACATAAATAAATATCTCCAACACCTCCACACCACAAAACTAGTCCCAACATGTCACACAACAAATAAAACAATACTAATATCAGTAAGAGAAACATCCTAACTAACTAATGAGCAACAAGCTTGCTTTACACTGTTTCTACGGCAATTATTCAAGCATATCTCCCTTATCACCCTGGTAACAACATTAAAAATACATGAATTCAAATATATCACATGTCAAGCAACTCAACACAACAAGAACAGCCCCAATAACATAGCACAACAACTAGTTTACGACTTCTAGCCGACATATCGTATCTTCTCAATGATTAAACAAAACCAGAACCTCAACTAAATCATACACATGAATAATATAGATAGTATTACCTTAAATCTCGAAAACAAGCAACAAATTAACTTAGAACAACTTCAAAACAGTCCAACAACTCACAACTACATCATATACGATTTCCGATCTTTATTTCACAAGTTCTTAGCCAAACAATCTAGCTACAACTTGTATGAACTCAAATCCATGTAGAAGAGAAAAATAATTACCTCAAACAGAAACAATAACCTTCAACCAAATATTTATTTAACTTAAAGGAATCCTCAACACAACAGCAATGCTATAGAAGCACTCCCCGCTAGTTTAATGAGACTTTTGATGATAGACTTGGGTAGTTTGGCCTTAGATTCACTCTTGAATCCTGGGGAATGTTAAGAGAGAGTTTAGGGATTGAATAGGTTCCGGTATGGTTAAAAATGACCCAAATTAGAAGGGCCCCGACTTTAAATAGAACCAAGAAAATTCCACCACCTTAAGTGGCTCCCAAGGGGGCTGCCTGCGCTGTCTCACAAAAATATAAATATCTCTCTACTCTAATGTTGTATCAATAATCAATTTAATGAGTTGAAAATTAGACTCATAGACCTTGAATTTTGTGGGTGGATTTACCCAACAACTCCAAGTATATTTGGAGAAAAGCTCAATGATATTACACCCAAATTTAAGTAAACTTATGAACGTAAATTGTGATAACTTTTGTCGACTTTTGTTTTACAACTTGCTTAACTTAAAAACTTAACAAACGATGATTATATGATTAAAATATCTCATAACATAAACTTCTTCGAATGTTAAAAACTCCTAGTCTTACCCCAAACATATGGGTTATAACGTTCCCAAGTTGCCGATTTTCGAACGAAACTTATTTTTTTCGATTCATTTAACCTCTAAACCGTCCAATGTGATATACGTGGTTTTAAACACTTATGAAATTGATAATGGTTTTTCTCTCTAGGATTAAGTCAACTCGATTATGAAACACTTCAAAGTGCAAAAGTACGGGATGTAACACAGATGGTCTAACAAGTGTGAGGGGAGATTTTAAAATCTCAAGACTGATTTGAATGTTGCTCCAATTTTGGTGTTTTCTTCAGGATCAGGGATATATATTTTCTATTGTGATACTTCGTGCATTAGATTTAGGTGTATGTTAATGCGAGACAATAAGGTGATTGCTTATGCGTCATGCCAATTGAAGCCCTATACGAAGAACTATCTTTTCATGATTTTGAGTTGGTTGCTATTGTTCTGTGCTCAAGATTTGGAAGCATTACTTGTATGGCGTGTCTTGTAAGGTTTATGCTGATCATCGAAGTCTTCAATGTTGGTTCAAGAAAAAGTATTTGAATTTGAGATAACGGAGGTATTTGGAGTTGTTGAAAGATTATGATATCACTATCTTGTATTACCTAGGAAAGGCAAATGTGGTAGCAAATGCCTTGAGTAGGAAGGAGAAAAGTATGGGGAGTTTAGAATTTTTTCCAGTTGTGGAGAAACCTTTGGCTATGGATGTTCATGCTTTGGCTAACAGATTTGTGAGATTAGATACTATCGAGCCTAGCAGGGTTCTCGCTTGTGTTGTTGCGCAATGGTCCTTGCTTGAGCGCATCAAAGCTCGTCAGTATGATGATCCCCATTTTCTTGTCCTTAAGGAAACGGTGTTGTGAGGTGGTGCTAAGGAGGTGTCTATTGGTGATGATGGTGTATTGCGACTTCAGGGTCTGATTTGTGTTCCTAATGCGGATGATTTCAGAGAGTTGATTCTTGAAAAGCCTCGTAGTTCGTGGTATTCTATCCATCCTGGTGCTACAAAGATTTATCATGATTTAAAGTGGCATTATTGGTGACAGAGGATCAATAATGACATTGTTGGGCATGGGTCATGGTGTTTGAATTTCTAACAGGTAAAGTATGACCATCAGAAACCGAGTGGTTTGCCTCAGAAGATTAATATACCGATATGGAAGTGGGAGTGCATTATTATGAACTTTGTGGTAGGATTGCCATGGACTTTGAGGAGATTTGACGTTGTTTGGGTCATTATGGATAGATTGATCAAGTCTGCATATTTTATTCCGATCATGACTTCTTACACTTCAAAATAGTTGGCTAAGACCTACATTAGAGAGATTATCCACTTGTATTGTATGCATGTGTCCATCATTTCAGATCGGGGCACTCAGTTTACATCATACTTTTGGAGAGCCATTCAGCATGATTTGGGCACGCAGGTTGAGTTGAGCACTGTATTTCACCCTTAGATGTTTGGACAAACCAAGCGGACTATTTAAATTTTGGAGGATATGCTGATAACATTTGTTATCAATTACGAAGGCCAGTGGGATTAGTTTCTACCATTAGCGGATTTTGAATATAATAACAACTATAAATTGAGTATCTAGATGGCTCTGTATGAGGAATGGGAGGCAATTTCATTCATGGGTTGGTTGGTTTGAGCCCGGTGAAGCTAGGTTGTTTGGTACAGATTTAGTTCGTGATGCTTTAGAGAAGGTGAAATTGATTTAGGAACGGCTTCGTACATCGTATTCCAAGTAAATGAGTTATGCTAATTGGAAGGTTTGATGTGGCTTTCATGGAGGGTGAGAAGGTCCTTCTCTGAGTTTCACCTACGAAGGCGTGATGACATTTGGGAAGAAAGGCAAGTTGAGCCCTCGGTGTATTGGTCCATTTTAGGGGTTAGAGAGAATTGGTGAGGTGGCCTACAGACTTGCTTTACCACCTAGCTTGCCTGGAGTTCATCTGATATTTCTTATTTCCATGCTTTGAAAGTATTATGTGGATCGGTCATATGTGTTCGATTTCAATTCAGTGCAATTGGATGCGAATCTAGCTTATGAAGAAGAGTCGGTGGCCATTTTTGGTAGGCAAGTTCGGTTAAGGTCAAAAAATATTGCATCGGTGAAGGTCTAGTGAAGAGTTCAACAAGTCGACGAGGAAACTTGGACGACCGAGCATATGATATGCGAAGCAGATATCCTCACTCTTTTTACATTCCAGTAGGATTTTAAACCCATTTGAGGATGAACGATTATTTAAGAAGGGGAGAATGTAACGACTCGACTGGTCATTTTGTATATTTGTCGCTTGTTTCTCTATTTGATGTTTTTCGTATGCTTATTTGTATTTTGTGACTTACGGGGATAGTTGGGAAGGTTTAAGAGTGAATTAGAATATTTAGTTCTATTGTTGGAAGTTTAAGTAGTAAGAGTTGACCCATGTTTCACTTTCGAATAGATAACCTCGAATTAGTGATTTGATGGTTCTAATAGGTTCATATGGTAATTTTTGACTTATGAGTATGTCCGAATTTTGATTTGGAGGTTCTTAAGATGTTTTGGCTCTAATTGCTTAAAGTTGGAAAATTAAAGATTTAGAAAGTTCATATGTTTTAACGAGAGTTGATTTTGATTATATCAGGCTAAGATTATTATTTTGGAACTTAGAATAGGTTCATTCAGTGTTTTAAAACTTGTGTGTAAAGTGTGGTTGAAATACAGAATGTTTAGGAATTATTCAGACATGTTTGGCAAAGTTGGAAAGATTAAAACTTAAGAGATTGATTTTTATCATCGATTCATAGTTTTAATGTTATTCGTAGTTCTTTGAGCACGTATAGAAATTTGGATAATATATTCGGACTTGTTGGTATAATTGGATAGGGTCCCAGGACTGCTCGGGTGTATTTTGGATTAGTTCTGGGCTATATTGGTAAATTAAAGCATGGATCTTGTGCATAACCCCTATAGCCAGGTGCATCGCAATTGCGTGCTGCCAGTGTGGGATTTTGTTTGTAGAAGCGGGAAGAGAGGTGGCCCAAGTGGATCGTAGTTGTGTTGAAATTTTGTGGTTGTGGGGCAGCTTGTGCGAGGTGTTTGCGTAGAAGCGCATCTGCAGATGTGGAAGTTTGTCGCAAAAGCGAAGGCCGGCTTGTTAAGTGGTTCTCGCATCTTCAAGGATTTTGCCGCAGATGCAACATTGCAGAAGTGACCAAGTGTTCTGCAAATGTGGAATCACTGGAAGGAGAATATATTTAGAGGGTTTAGCTTATGTTCACTATTTTGAATTTTTGAGCTTGGTTAGAGGCTTTTTTGGGGGAGATTTTCATCACAACTTTGGGGGTAAGTGATTTCTACTTAATTTTGATAATATATCTTATTTTTCTATGGATTAATACACATAGATTATGTGATTTGAAAAATAAATTTGGGGGTTTTTGTGCTAGATTTGTTAAAGTGAATAATTGAGATTTGAATCCCCATTTGAAGTAGGATTTGGATGAAACTTATATATTTGAATTCGTATTCGAATGAGTAGTCAAAATTTGTGAGTTTTGTCGGGTTCCAGAAATTGGGCCCTAGTTGACGTTTTAGTTGACTTTGTGTAATTGATTAATGATTGAAGCTTTAGTATTTGAAATTGATTCCTATAAACTTTTTGACGTTATTGAGTTGCTTTTGGTTAGATTTGACCCGTTCGGAGGCTAATTTTAGAGGCAAAGGATCCTTGGAATATTCGTTCGAGGTATGTATCTTGACTAGTCTTGGCTTGAGGGTATTTCCCCAGGGGCTATGATGTTTGCTATATATAGGGGGTGACACACATATAAGTTGACGAGCACATGTGCATGTTTCGTAGTTATTCATGATCCGGGTAGACTTTAGGCTATTATATATTCCTTGTCTGTTATCATGCCACTTCGATACCATATTTTCTCCACTTGTTTGACTACGTGAACTATTATCCATGCTGGAAATCATGTCTAGAATATCTACTTATCTATTTGATACATGGTAGGATTATTTTTTCTATATTGATCTATTTACCTTACCCGTAGTCATATTATTCAATCGTGAAATTATAGCAGTGTGTTATATATCTGTCTTTGTATACTCTTTCTATGTTATCTCACATGTTATTAGTGTCATTGTATGTGTAATACAAGTTTGAGCTGAGTTGTGGTATGTTGATATATTTCGTGCGGTATTTTAATTACGGTATTGTTAGATATTGGTATACTCAGACTTGAGAGGATTGATGATTGATTTTGGGCC